CCCTTTTTTTAGCCAGTTTTTGCCTGCCCCTGATCCCAGTTTTTGACCCCCCCCCCCCCCCCCCCCGTCGCCCCTCGACAAAGGTGCCGTCAGCAGTGGCACCCCTGGCTTAGTGCAGGCTTGCCCGTATTGGTTCATCAACTCACAACCTGCTGGTGACAGACAGGCCATCACCCTTGGTACCGCGCTGCGTTGCCTCTCGTTCCCGTGGTTGATTGGCTGGCCACGCCACACAGCCCCTGTCCACCCTGCACCTTCCGCACCCACCTCCCTGACCTTCATTGGTCTCGCGATCCAGCCCACGCCCAGCTTTGGTAAGGCTCTTTGCATGTTGCCACCGGGAATAGGTTGTGCTTGCCCGTTTGTTGCCCATCAAAATTCAAAACCGTGCACGTCGGAGCCATTTCGGAGTGCTGGCATTTTCTTCCATTGCTTCGCCGGCTTGGCTCAATCTCACCTCTGGCATTGGTGATGGGTACACCACTCGACAGGCTTGTTGGAACCGTACACCATGTCATCCCCTCGCCGCCGTATCGAGTCAGACGTCATGAAGCTGTAGGTCCTGGCCATGCACCACGTCCTAGGCTTGCATGCGTGGCTCATGGGATGTCGATGCCCGTAGCATGATGACAGACCACAATGTTACTCTGGTTGGAGACTCGATGGTTGAGTTCTACGTCGTTCTTCATGGCCCAAAAGACAGGTCAGATGCACTTTGCGTTGTCGGGCCCACGACCCCAAGCGTGGCCACCAGGCGTCAAAGTGGGCCCGTTGGCCTGTTGTTGGGCTGAGTCTATCCTCGGCAATGGTTAATCAGCATCCTTGTCAAACATGCGCTCATAGTCCATACGAGGGTGGGATGTGGCGAGTCCACGTTCGACTCCCCGAAGCATACCCTTATAAATCCCCGTCCATTGGCTTTGAGAACAAGATGTTTCACCCCAACGTCGACTTTGCGTAAGCATGCCCTGAGCATGGGTCCGCAGATGGCCCCGTCACTGGCCATCTTCTCAGCGTCCTGATCCCATGTCAATGACTGCTCATTCCACGTTAAATGGCCCTGGGCTCGACTGGCGGATCAACAGGTCGGGCAGTGTCTGCCTCGATGTCATCAACCAAACTTGGTCACCGATGTATGGTACGTGTGGTGGGGTAAAAGAGGCCTCCAACTGGCTTTTGGCGGGTAGTGCGTTCTTCGCGAGGTCAGCCCTAAGACTAACGCACAATGTGGGCAACGGGCGTGGCCTTGATGCTGTCATGCAGAACTCTTGAACATTTTTGAAGTCTTTCTGCCCCAGCTGCTCTTGTATCCCAACGCAGCCGAGTAAGTTTGTTTTTGCACTGGAGTTTGCATTTTGAAGGGCTGACATTTACTTATGTTGTTCAATGACTCCATGCCTTGCACAGTCCGCTCAACGGAGAGGCTGCCAGCCTGTTGCTCAATGACCCAGAACGCTACAAGCAAACAGTCCGAGGTTCGTGTGGGGGGGGGCAGTGGTCGGAACAGAAGACTCACAAAGGGGCAGCATAAAGTATTGACAGGGCCTGTCTTCACCTTGAGGGGGTTGCTGGGTGCTTGTTCCACGATGCGGTTTAGATCATGTGCGGCGCTACGCATCGGGCGGCGCTGCTTCAGGGGAGGCAATGGCCACGGATGCCGTTGGTGGCCCGGATGGGGGCGCTGAGGGAGAAGACGACGATGACGACGATCTCAGTTCCCTGGCCTCTGATTCGGAGGAGGAGGCTGTGCCTGACATGGATCTGTAGCGATTGCTCAAATGACTTTGGCTCTGTGCCAGGTCTTGTGTCGCGTTTTGTTGTCCTGTCTGTTTGTTATGCTGTTTGTGCTCTTGCTTTTTCCGCGGGTGACGCGCGGGGTTGACCCACCAGGCAGTGCCTGCCGGCGTTTTTTGGTTTTAATTGCATCCCGATCTGGAGGCGCTGCTCTCTTTGGCCATGCTCGGTTTGTGCGACCTTCAGGCAGTCGGCCGAGCCTCACCGCATAGACGGTCACATGTCGCATTGTGTGGCATCGCCCGGTGTGCGCACAGTGGCATTTAGTTTTCAAGGTCACAGTGTGGTGGTCGTGGGGTTCAATTACATTTCACTTGACAGTCACTTAAAAAGGCGTGCTCATGGCAACGGTTGGTGCCATACAGGCTCATCGATGCCAACCCCACTCAGTCCAGAGTCAAACCATCCAAGGCTTCTTGCAAGCCTCGCTTCAAAGTCCACTCGGGCAAGTAGCCACCGACACGCAAGAGGGTCTCAGCAACATTGCCGTTGAGGGCTTGCTGCCAGGTCGCACCGGATGCGTAGAAACTACGGGCGAAGAGGCGGCTGGTGAGACATGGGCTATGTAGTTGCAATGGCAACGCATGGGACGTACGCTTGGGCAATCTCTGGTGTTGGGGGCGTGATGAGGCCGTTGGCGAGTTTTCTTGTCGGCCGCTGGTAGACGAACAAAGGAGCAGCCTCGCGCGGCACGAGTGTTTCCATGTGAGCATCCTATGAAGCGACAACGATAGCAATGAATGAGCCTTGTGATATCGTGGTCATCGGCAGGAGTCGGTACTCTTTGATAGCAATGTATGATAGCAGTGGTTGGGTCTTTGGCACTGACGGCTTCTTGTTGTTGACGCAGGCGTGCAGCTTCATCAGCTAGGGCGCGTTCCTCCTGGTCAAGTTCTGTTTTCACTTGGAGACGCGCCTGCTTGAGCTCCACGCCACGCTCAAGCAAGCCCATGATCATTGTCCGTTCCTGTGCCAACGAGGCGCATATGCCACGCTGAGGACGGAACTGCCGTGCACCGAAAGGTGGGGAAGCAATGTGGCGGGCGTCACGGCCAGAGAGGCGTCGGTGCATACCTTGGTGCGCCGCTGCTCTGCTTGAATGGCTCGCTGCTCAGCCAACCGTCGACGTGCCAGAGCAGCATCTTGTTCCAACTAAAATCGTCAAATTGGAGCGTGAGCGAGGGGGCAAAAGGAGATGCGTGGATGCGGGGGAGAGGATGCGCTCTGGCGGTTCTGCTCTGGTGGAATGGACCGGCTGCTGACACTGGTGCTGATGCAAGCTCAGCACGCCGTACTGTGAGACGGTGCGACCAACCTTTTGGCGTTGTAGACGCTCGCGCCGCAAGCGGTCCGCCCGTGCTTCGTTGGTTGCAATCTGCTCGGCATAGTCGTTCAAAAGTTTGTCCAGGCGCTGTCCCGTTTCAACGAGGTCTAGATCATTGCTCAGGTTGTAGGCGATGTCTTCACGCTGTTCGAGGTAGTCATTGTAGGCGGCTAGGGTGGGAAAGTCCTTTTCGGTCAGGTTGAGGCGCTGCAGCTGTCGTCGACGGATGGCCACATCCCGCTGCACATGGCCGGAATCGAAGACCTTGAGCTCGTAGTCGTTGCGGCGGCGTTCCTCCCGACACGTCGGACAGCGAATGGTGGCCCGTTGGAAAAGGTTGTCCAAACATTCGCCGCAAAGAAAGTGTCCACATAGCGAGGTGAAGAGCCTGAGGTCCTTGCGCGTATACCTGTTGGCCTTGCAATGCGGACACACCTCGTCCTCCGGTCGGCAAAAACCCGCCCGCTCACTGGGATCACTACTGCCCGGCGTCGTACCCGTTGTGGCAGCGACAACGGCCGAGCCAGCTGTGGGAGGCTCGTCCACCTCCATCTTACCAGAGACGTCTGACATTAAATGCTGACATGATGACAACACGTCACAGGGAGGGTGATGGGTGTTGCGTCATCCGATCTTCAAACTCATGCCGTCGTGTCTTGCAGCAATCCACCACACGCTTGGCGCCATTGATAAGGCAGATCCCTTACGAGTTACCACACACGCGGCGAACATCCGCAAGGCATGCATGCTGTTGCTCTTGAAGAAAAAACAAACCCCAAGACAGCCAGCCCCAAGTCTGACATCCATCACACTTGACATCTCCATAAGTGTACTCAAGTGTAACATATCGACACACTTTTTGCGGCGTGCATTTTGGTCGTGTTATGTTTTTCTTCTGCGCCTGTCAAGGTAAGAGGGAGAGACGTCAGAGAGATGTGTGTGTGTGTGTGTGTGCGCGGAGAGAGAGAGAGAGAGATCAAAGCGGCATGAAACGGCAGCCGTGATGATGGATGATGAGGATGCCTGGGTGTCCTCGGTCTCCTGGACGAAGATCGTGCAGTGGGTCTGGCTTACAAGGGCTGGGCGAGGGCCCGTGTCATTTTCTACTGCTCGCTTTTCCTATGTGCATGGCATGGTATCAGTCCGTTCAGTTCCAAGTTGACCTGACCTGACGTATGGCGCGCCGCGGGCGGGGGCGCGGTTGTGTGTGTGTGTGTGTGTGTGTGTGTGTGTGTGTGTGTGTGTGTGTGTGTGTGTGATGGGCGTGGGGTTTTGTCGGGGTGGGCGCCAATTGGACTCGTGTCCTTGAAGCCTGGGCAGAGCCAGCCTGTGTTCTTGGCTCTTTGATCTTTTGGGCATTGTCTTGTGGTGTGTCGTTGTCACAGCGTGTGTGTGTGTGTGTGGGGCAGGGCGACTGCGCACACCGCCGTGATGCGGAATCGTGTCGTCATGGGCAGTTGATAGTGCAGATTGCCATGTGGTGTGCAAGCCAGCTCCACCTCCGACTCATATCCTTCTTTGTCTTCATGGCTGCCCGGATTTGAAAGACGAACCAGAAGGACAAACCCAGTGCGGACACGACAGAGCAGCTGGGCATTGTAGGCTTTCAGTCTTCCCCAACACACCTTGGCAAGCTAGATTTTGCTTCCCGAGGGCTTGCCAAGGCCGGCGTGCCTTTTGCCCCTCTTGTTTTGACTGACTCGACCTGATCTGAACGTCGAGCTCCACCCTTCCAAGTTCCTGCCGCCATGGCGTCTGCCCCTGTGCTTGCCCGTGCTTGGGCGCGACCCAGCGCACATTTCCTGCGGCCACTGAGTCGAACGCTTGCCTCAAGCCGCCCCATCTCTCAAGGCGCCCAGGCTGCCGTGGCAAACGATGCGTACGTCTCAAAGAATCTGCTCGTCCCTGAGGTCGATCAACTTTGGCACTCTGTGAGCCAGCTGCCGTCTCAAAGTTGGCTTGTTTTGCTTATTCATCCCTCTGCTCGCCAACCTGTGTAGCTCGACACAAGGCCCCTCATTCAAGTTTGAGGACTTGAACCCCCACTTGGTGGCGGCCGAGTATGCTGTCCGTGGGCTTTTGCCTCAGCGTGCGGCCCAAATTGCGCAGGAGCTGCAGCAGGGCGCTACCAATTATCCCTTTGATGAGGTCATTTTCGCCAACATTGGCAACCCACAGGTACGTGGGCCCGACTCTCCGGCCCGACTTCACCGTCCGCCCCCCTCCCCGGCCTTCCCTCTTGCCACCAGCGCCTTCGATTCCAGCTCGGTTCCATCTTCTCCCCCCCACCATCTCGCTTTTGAGTCATCCTGCCACTGCTCTTTTTTGCTCTGCTTGGGTGTCAGGCCTTGGCACAACCGCCCATCACCTTTTTCCGCCAAGTCTTGTCGTTGATGGAGAACGAAAACATGCTTCTGGACATGGCCAACTTCCCTCACGTGGCTGCCCTCTACCCGGCCGATGTCATTGCGCGTGCCAAAGATTACATCAGGGCGGGTGCCGACATTGGTGCTTATTCTGCCTCCCAGGGCGTGCCCCTGGTGCGCGAGCAAGTGGCCGGGTACCTTGAGCGTCGTGACGGCGTCCCTGCCGACCCAAGTGACATTTTTCTGACTGCCGGCGCTTCGGAAGGCATTAGCAATCTTCTCGGTGCCATCATCGCCAATCCCTCTGTGGGAGTACGTTATTCGCCCTGCACGCGCTCCGCTTGGTGAATCGTCGACCTTCGTGCTAGCAAAGAGGCATGCATCGCTTCTCCATTGTATGACTCACTTGGCGACTTTTGGTGCAGATTATGATTCCGATTCCACAATATCCACTGTACAGCGCCACCATTACTCTTTGCAACGGCAAGCCCGTCAAGTACTATCTGGTCAGTTTGTCTGCATGGCCCATGCACCATCTGTTTAGAGCACAATCTCTCCGCCAATATGGCCGCTAACGCCCTTTCTCGAAAACACAGGATGAGGAGGCTGGCTGGACTCTCAATGCCGATGAGCTCAAGCGTCAGCTGGACGAGGCTCGGGCCGCTGGCACCGATGTGCGCGCGCTCTGTGTGATTAACCCTGGCAACCCAACCGGTCAAGTGCTCACCGAAGACGTGATGCGCGAGGTCAGCCATGCTTGCTTGAGTTTTATCCTGGCTTCAAGTCTTCTTGATGCAGACTTTTGTGGATCTTCGTTTCCCCGCTTCCGGTGACTGTGGGCCACGAGTTGCGTGCGTATGGTATCTTCACAACGACCTGGTCAAACTCGAATCAGGTGGTGCAATTTTGCCGTCGTGAGCGTTTGGTGCTGCTGGCCGATGAGGTGTACCAGGCCAACACCTATCAAGATCACCTTCCCTTCCATTCCTTCAAAAAAGTCGTAGCCAGCATGCCCGACTGCCGTGATACCGTCGAGCTGGCTTCTTTCCATAGCCTGAGCAAGGGCATGATTGGCGAGGTGCGTACGCAACTGCAAGATTGGGGCAGGGCTTCCGCTCGCCATTCTGCGGGACCGTTTTGTTGTGGAGACCCACCCATCCTGCGCGCCAGCATCTCATACTTGCTTGCCTCTTGCCGCCAACCTCAATTTGGCAGTGCGGTCGCCGTGGTGGCTTCATGGAGTTGATCAATTTTGATCCGTTGGTGCGCGAGCAGCTCTTGAAGCGGGCTTCCATCAACCTCTGCTGCAACGTGGCCGGTCAGGTCATGACCGGCATGATGTGCGAGCCGCCAGCCGTGGGTGAACCCTCCTATGACCTCTATCACCACGAAATGGAGAGCCTTTATACTTCCCTTCGCCGTCGTGCCCTCATTTTGGCCGATGCCTTCAACGACATGGACGGCATTGAGTGCGGCCAACCTCAGGTATGCCGCACCGCGACGTGGTCTAGCGTGGCCGCGCAGCAGGGAGCACACATGGCTAGGAATCTTCCCGGCTTGTGACGCGTGTCCCTTTTTACACATAATTTTTTGACATTTGTTTCCCCCCCCCCCTTTTTTTTTTAATACAGGGTGCCATGTACTTGTTTCCGCGCATTTATTTGTCCGACAAGGCCATTGCCGCGGCTCAGGAGCGCAAGCTGGCACCTGACACCTTCTACTGCCTGCAGCTGTTGGAGCGCACTGGTTTCTGTGTGGTTCCTGGTAGTGGCTTCGACCAATATCCAGGTACCTTTCACTTCCGCTGCACCTTCTTGCCTCAGGAGGAGAAGATTGCCAGCTTGGTTCACAGCATCCAGGTTTGTTCCTGCTCCTCATGTGTATGAGTGTTTGACTTCTGCGATTGGTTGCTGACCTGTTGGGCTCGTCACGACACCTTTTTTTGCGGATACAGGAGTTCCAGCGCGACTGGGTTGAGGAGTACGGGCTTCCCTCGATGGCTTGAGGCGGGCATAGTTGCTTGCCACCTTAGATTAACTGCCTCGCTGAACGGCTGCCCCTTGCCTTTTTCTCGTGATTGTGCTTCGTCTGTCTTTTATGGTCCCGCGGTATCAGCGGGTTTGTGCATGTTTTCCGGTTCACTCTGGTAAAAATTCAATTTTTTCACTCTATTCTCCGTTCCACTCACACAAGCGCGCACACAACAACGCGACACGCCTCCGAAACAGAGTTGGTCAATCACAAAGTTGGTACATGCCTCAGGGCCAGGGCTTCTTCATGCCTGGTTGCTTCTCGCGTGCAAAAGCCCAGTGCGTACCAAGGAGTCAAGAGAAGACATCATGGACGATGTCCAGATCCCACGAGCATTCCCAGAGTGCACCAATCGTGCCTTGATGGGCCAGGAATCCCACTCAGAAGGATTCCTGCGTGCACCAATACTGATATCAGCAGGGGCGAGCCACCGGGAGTCGCCAAGGACCCCGGAGAAATCATGATGACTGCTTCATGTCCTTGACATCGGCAACTTGGCGCCCACACATGGCGCAAATACCTAGCAAAATCCATTGCGATGCGAGCAGACGCCATTAAGCTCAAGCATGGGACAGAAACCCCAGACAGGCACGTTGAATCGTATGCACTCGGCCCCCACCCTCTCTTCCCAAGCTGCCAGGCGAACACACCCAGTTTGTATGCACATTGATTACAGTAGTGCGAGTGCTTCTGATGCACTTTCTGTTTGCACACCTTGCACTTGGCCAGCTTCTCGTACGGGTTCATCCTTGAAGGACGGCGGGCAGCGCGCAATCAGCAATGATGTCACGCAGCAGACACGCAAATTTCAAAAGACAAAAGCGTGGGCAGAATAGGGCTTTGCATGTGTGCAAGCGCATACTTGTTCTTTTTACCCTCCAGCAGCTTGTTGCCACCTTTTTTCTTGAGTGAGTCTGATTCAGGTGTGGCATGAGAGTGTACAGGTCGCGTGAGGCTTGACATAAACCATCCAAAAACGGAGCAGGTGCCTGCTGTCGCAGTGTATAGAAACCAGACCGTTGGTGTTGCGCGCGCCATCCTTCCAGGGATCGGGTGCTGCAATCTTGCTCAGTTTCTTCGTGCCTATGATGCAGAACAAGGAGGGTACGACCACCACTTTGAGCCGCGAAACAGCAGGAGGCGTCCGTTTGAATGCACGGGCACAGAATCATAGTCTGCAGCCTCTTCAAGCAAGCCAAACCTACACTTGGAGCACACCATCTTGCTCGGGAAAAATTGGGCTCAACGAGGAGCCTGGCTGCTCAAGGCGAATGCAAGATGAAGCTGAACCTCCTACTCGAGTGTCAAAGCTCTTTCGTCGATGAGATAGAAAAAAAAAAAGGGAAACCAAAAAATGAAAAAAACGATGTTGAACGTCAAAAAATGGAAGTGGAACTCTGGAAATGATGACAATGATCAGAACGAGTGTTCGGTACATTTACGCTTGACAACAACGACAAACACGACCGACCGACCCCGCCGACGTCTCTGGGAAGACAAGACGACTCGTGGGCAGCAGCGACTTACTTTTGGCGGGTTCGACTGGTCTTTGAGGACGTACATCTTTTCTAGATCGCCGTGAGGGCTCGTGGCCCGGCTGTACTGGACGCCTTCTTTTGCCGAGGGCTCGTGCAGGTGTGCAGTCTCTGTTCGTGACCGCCGCCATGCCCAAGAAGCCTAGCCAGGCCGTTGCACCTGCGGAAGGGGTAAGCTCCACCCCTCGTCTCAAGCAACAGCGGTTCGGCGGTGGCACTGCCGGCGGCACCGCTTGTTGAGCTGCTCGTCGTGGTTATGCGCCATGGGCCCGTGCATGCTCCTCAATGTAGCTCATGTCGTGCATGCCAGTTGACTGGAGTGCGCGCGTACTCATGGTTGCTCCTGCTATCTGTGTGGATGACAGCTCGAACCCGTTGGCTTGAGCATCAGCGATCCCAACACCCTTGTGCTGGCCCTGGCCTCTCCAGACCAGGCCGTCGTGAGCACCTCCTGTGATGCCTTGGAGAAATTTGCCTCAAAGTGTAAGTCATTGATTTCATTCGCTCGCGTCTACATGACTCCGTCACCGCTGCACCTCTGCACATATTAAAGGCTAACCGTGCGTGCGGGCATGCGGGCGGGTGGAAAATCAACAAATCGTTTTGATAGCCGACGGTAACCGCGAGCTTGTGTTGCAAGCGGGGGCGGTGCCCAAGATTCTCAAGCTACTGCATCATGAGAGCGATGAGATCAAGCAGCAGGCTGCCATGGTCCTCGACACCCTCCTGGAGCTCTACAAGACGCGTCTCGTTGCCCGGAAAGAGCATCTCACCCCTCTCATCGAGGGCCTCAAGCTATGCCTCGAGCCAACTGCCACTGTGGTGATGCAGGAAAATGCCTTGTCAGTAGTTTGCTCATGTTTGTTTTGCCATGCAGCAGACTGGTGTTTCGCTCACCCGGCCATCCTCCCGCAGCGGCTGCTGTGCATCGCTGACGCTCGAGTACACGCTTCGAAGATGCCTGTACCGTGAGCAACTACTGAGCACGGCCGTCAATGCGCTCGGCACGACCGAGCCCGTGCTGTTACGTAATGCACTGCGCTGTTGCGCCCACCTCTTGGCCGATCACGACGCGCGCCAAGACTTTCACACTACGGGCGGTTTGTGATCTGCTGCACAGGGCTGGCACAGACTTGCTTGTCACCAGACACCATCTCTGACACTGGCATATTCTCCTTTGCTTCAGGTATCCCGCGCCTCACCGGCCTGCTGGAGAGCGACTACAGCGAGGTCCAGCGCCTCGTCCTGCGCATCATCGGTCAAGCTTGCCTGGCCACGGATTCTCGCAATGCCTTCTGTACGTCATGCCATTGGCGCGTTGCATCTCGTGCCTGCAACTAGTTGCTCGCCATCATTTGATCAACAAAATCTCTGCCTTTCCTTGCTGACCTTGCGCTGCCCACTGTGCCGTGCTTGATGCTTGGCATCCGCCTGCTTGTTACCAGACGAGGCGGATACCCTAGAAACCATCATTCAATTCGTCTCGAAAGAAGAGCACAAGGCCGCACATGTGGAGGCGCTATCTGCTCTCACGTCCATGTTGTTCGAGCAAGAGGGTTTGGACCGCGTGTGCCGCCATGGTCCTGAGGGCCAAGCTCCTCCAATTTGTACAATGATTCACTACTTGCAGAGCGACGTATCCGAGGTGGTTGCGGGTACCCTTCGCTGCTTTGCGCGAGCAGGGGCCTCTCCGGAAGTGCGACGCGTCCTGTTTGATGCCAAGGTGGAGGCGGAAATTGTGGTCCTCATTCTTCCCGTGGACCCAAAGCAGCCCATCAATCCAGCCATCAGCACACCCGCCTGCGATGCTCTGGCGTCACTGGCCCGGGGCAAATCCAACGCCGAAGCCATCATTCTGCATCATGGCGTTGTCCGGCTGACAAAATTGTTTGCGAGCACAGATCCTGCCTTGCTGGAAGCTGCTGGTCGCGCCGTGGCGGCTCTATGCCACGATAGTGAAGGCGCGCGCAAGCAAATTGCTGAAGCCCATTGCCTCGGGCGATGGCTAGAAATTCTGAACACCTTGGCGTGTCGTGGAGCTCACGCCGGCATTTGTGCCGCGATCGCAGCGGCCGTCCAGGACGCGTCCATCACACACGATGACCTCATGTCCACGCTCGTGCAACAGCTCAATGCTGACTATGAGGGTGCCGAGGCGGCCCAACTGCACGCGCTCAACGCTCTGAGCGTGCTTCTCACGTCAATGACGCGACGCCGTGAGCTACTTGCTCTGAACGCTGAGCCTGCTCTCTGCCGCTTGGCAGCGACGACGAACGGCGACCTGCGTGTGGCGGCTTGCCAACTCATTACCATGGCCGCACCATTACCTCCGCTAGCCATGAGCATGTTTCAGGCCGGTCTGCTGCGTGTGTTGACGCGTGTCAATGCTTCGCTGCCCTTTCCTTCGCTGGCAGCCACTCGAGCGCACGCGGCCATCTTACAGTATAGCCCGACCGCCAAGTACGCCCTCACGGGCCGCTTGGACATGCGCGACCGCCTAGATGGCATTTTCTTCGATGCGGGTCAAAAGAAAGATGCCACGCTTCTGTTATCACTTGAGCAATATCAACAACACGACATTAATGCCCGACGGCCGATCATCGTGATCAACGCAGTGCGTACCAAGCAAAAGGGAGATGTCCGTCCTGTAGATACCGACTTGATTCGGTTCGTCGAAGCCTTTGAGCAGTCCATGGCGCTGGTGGAGGACCTGACTCTTGCGCACATTTCGCGACAGCTGGCTCAAAGCATCGCCTCTCGGTAGGCTCGCGTACGCTTTGATACACGCGTGGGCTGGTAAAGCGTCATCCTCAGATCCACTGCGGCTGATATCGTTTCATGTAGAATGGGTGGACCAGTCGCGATTCACGATCTGGCAAAATTTTCCAACCATCTACACGTGGCCGAGCTGAAGGAGGCCGTGGGCAGCAACGTGGTGTCCATTGGCAAGGTACTGTTATGCCTGCAGGCCTAGCCATAGCTCATGCCATATCTCATGCATGCTGCCTCATTCTCACGCTTTGTCTGCCTTCATGTGCACTTGACTGTCGTTGCAGTTTGGCAAGGGCAGCTACGCTGAGCGCTGCCTCATGTTTAAGGCAGTCATGGATATGATGGGTCACCCATCTGCCTTGGTTCGCGGGGCATTTCAGGATGCCTACAACGTCGTGTCTATTGGTGCGTTATCTTGCCACCTTGCTTGTGACTTGCTGGTGTGCTGGGACCACACGGACCGACTCATTATTTGCCGTGTTGGTCGCACCACCTTGGGGCAGACGACGGGCTGTACGTCGTGGATGTCATGCACTCCCCAGGCCAATTTGTAGCTCTATCCAACCTTGAGCAGCTCAAAACCTGGCGTCCCTTTGCCCAAACACCAATCTACGCCACGGTTGGCGAAGCGATGCCATGAGAAGGCCGGCTGATCTGGCACATGACGTCACAGCGCCAGCCAGATTCTCGGCCTCTTTTCATGTTAATCCACATGGCAGAGCAAACTACCCCAAAGCCTTTTTGCTTGTTTGTTGTTGATGTTGCTGGGTAGGATCAGCAAGAGCATGGGATGAATGCGCCATTCTCAAGGTTCTGATCTAATTTGTAGCTGAAGAGATGATTTGATGTTCTTTGAGCAATTCAACTGCCGAGCTTGTTGCTACTCCTGTAAACAACAACAACGACAACAACAACAACAACAACAACAACAACAACAACAACAACAACAACAACAACAACAACAACAACAACAACAACAACAACAACAACAACAACAACAACAAACCAAAAATAAAACTGCTTGACACTTTTGAAAAGTCAAGGCAAGGAAGGACACGACCATGGCAGCAGGAAGCCCGACATACACACTTATCACGGGTGCAAACCGCGGTATTGGGCGGCAAGTGGCTGTGGATTTGCTACAAATGGGACGTGCTATTGTGGTATCAGCGCGCTCACAGGTAGGTGGCATGCAAACTGACGTGCGTGCGGCCGCTGCAGTTGGTCGGAGGCCTCAGTTGCTAAACGATTCGCGTGCAGGTAAAAGCTGAGTCAGCGACTCGTGAGCTGCTCGAAACTGCACCGCCCGGAGCTCAGGCCTTGCCACTGGCTTTGGACGTGTCGTCGGAGCACAGCATCCGAACGGCCGCAACCGAGCTGCGGGCACAGCAGGTCCAGGTGAGGTGGCCATTGTTACCCCTTGGATGGCGAGCACAAAAAGAAAAACGCAAGGAACCCCCACCCCCCAACTCATTGGTGGTGAATGGTGGTGAATCGGAGCACAGCTGGACACCATCCTGAACAACGCGGGCATATTCGAGGAGGGCTGGACGGCCTCTGCTTTTGAGCGACACAAAACCACCAACTTTCTGGGTCCTGCGCATGTCGTACAGCACATGGTTCCGTTGTGCACGCCTGGGTCACATGTGCTCAACGTTGTCAGTGGCTACGGACAGTTGACATGCAACTTTGAACCCTACGTCTCGCGACTACGACGGGCGGCCAGCATCGATGAACTCGCTAGCTTGGAATTCGAGCCCAATGAGGAGTATCAAAAGGTCAACGTGCCCGCCTATCGTCTGACCAAGGCCATGTTAATCCGCGCTACACAGCTCTGGGCTATGGACTCTGCCATGCAAAAGCAGCGTATTTGCTTTAGTTGCGTCTGCCCTGGCTGGGTACAGGTATGTATGTGGGTAGGCTGCTTTGCGCACAGCGATTGATCGTGCATCCGTTTTGGAAGAGGAGGCAAGATCTCTCGTGGTCTCACGTTTGGTGGTGTTCCACTGGGGCATTAGACGGATATGGGCGGCCCGCAGGCGCATCGCACGGTTGAGCAAGGTGCAGGCTCGCTTATGTGGCAGTTGCGACGGATGCAACAGGCGCCGGAACAGGCCTACGAGGAGCTCAACGGTGCATTCTTTCGCGATGATCGCCGTCTCGAGCCCTGAGCTGTTGAGGCCGGCTTTCGATTGAATGACCGCACTGTGGGTCAAGCAAGGCTCATATAGTCCAGAAAACCCATGTCAGAGTTTATCAGCAATCGAGAAGAAAAAAAACACACACGTCACACGTTGGTCGGAGCAAAGATGGGGCGCGTAGCGCCTGCCTGTGGAGGCAAAAACACAAGAGGTCAAGAAGGTCGGGTGAGGGAGATTTTTTTTTTTTAAACAACCAGCAAGACAAAGTCCCGCCCGTCCCCAACCACAGCCTGGGGGCAAAAGGGGGGAAGGGAAAGCGCAGCCAGGATTTAATCTCGCTTGGCTTGTCGCGCTTTGATTAGCTGCTCTTCCTCGGCCGTCGGTGTCAAGAACTTGTCACGCTGCTCTCGATAGATTTGGCGCAGCTAGACCATGCCAAGGTGTATTCGTGATGAGCCATAAAGTAAAGCCTGGGTAAACTGAGGGAAGAGCGTGTATGCGACCACATATGAAATGTGCTTGGGGTGCTGCTATAGCGTACCGGTTGGAAGCAATGATCCTCGTAGCCGTAATCGTGGAAGAGGGCAAAGTACACGATGGACCCTGGATCCATGACAGCACGCACAAAGGCCCAAGGGTCCGGGGCAAGACCGAGAACGGTATGAGAAAGAACAAGGAAACATCAATGAGAAAATGAGCTGCATTTCAGGGCAGGCAGAATGCTGCGTTTGGTCTGCCGTACCGACGAGCAAGACGGGCTGAGCACGGCGCGAGCGTCGGATCCAAGACTCTGACAGAATTGGGGTGTGAAGTTCAGGCGCCACGGCCTTGCTCTTGGCGTCCATGATTGGGCAGTGCTTCAGCTGATGGAGGAACGGCCTCGAGCTTTTTTTTTTTTTCTTCTGCCAAATCGTACCACACCAAACCCTCAAAGCCCGCCCTTGAGCAGCTGCAGGAAGTAAGCCGCTGCAAGCGCACCGAAGCACCGAGACACCGCACGACCACTTGAGCGCCAGCCAGCCCCTTGTCAAACAGTTGCACGCAACAGGTGTTGTACGATAATAAATGAACTACCAGGGCTCTTACACTTGGTAAATCACCAGTGATCCTCAAGGCGAAAGGTGTGTGTGTGTGTGTGTGTGTATCACTCCAAGAACGCAACCCACACCACANCACATGCTGAAAACANANGGAAGCGAGAGAGAGAAGAGAGAGGGGAACATGAGACAAAGGAAGAGAGAGACNGGNAAACACACACACACACACACACCACCATTTGAGCTGATCCTGCTCTCTCTCTCTCTCTTTTTTTTTGACTTTTCCCGGTGGTGGTGCCAGTTGTCATTTGGCGTCGACTGCCTGCCTTGCCTTCAAGGGTGCTCATTCCGCTGAGGCCGTCGTTTACGCACAAGCAGGTACTTGTTGACCTCTTCAGATGGACCGCCCTGAGCCAATGCTGCTTGGGTTGCGCCCACATGCGGTGCTTCCTCCAGCCATGCCTTTCGTTCTGTTCTGGAGGATATCCTTGAGCGCGCGTGTTGAGTGTGAGCGTGCGAGTGTCGTCCAAGGGAGCAACAGGACGCACAGCTGAGATAATTGCCACCAAGGTCGTGGTAGCTGCGGCACAGGGGTCGCTTCCCCACCCTTGTGCGCTAGCGTCGAGTCTGTTCGGGCACACCAGCGCGCGCGCGCACTGGTCTCGGAGCACTGCCCTTGTTTGGTCGTCCATTCTCGGGCGTGGCTCTGATCACCAGAGACGTGACTGTTCCTCGCGTTTGCTCCAACTGCACACTGAAAAACCCAGTGCCTACTTTTTTCAGTGTGCACTTGTCCTTGTGTTTGGTTCTCAGCTCTTCGATTTGATCATTCATAAACCCCAGCGAACATGAGTGCAGATTGCTCACCCGAACATCACTCCCGCACCTCGGTTGTAGCTTTGGTTTCCCCCACACCAGAACCATGTCCGGTTCAGGCGATAAGATCAATGTTTTCCCGTCGCGCATGTACGTATTCATTCCTTGACTCCTACAATGTACCAATACCAAGACGAGGCTCAGCTGCCTCTGCCTCTGCCTCTGCCTCTGCCTCCGTTCCGCCACACCCACTCCTCACACTCCTCGACTCGGTCCACAGGGCGCAGACGCAGATGAAGCTCCGCCTCAAGGGTGCCAAAAAGGGCCATAGCCTGCTCAAGAAGAAGGCCGATGCCCTTACTCTGCGTTTCCGCGCCGTCCTCCGCCAGATCGTCAAGGTACGCCATGGTGGCTTTGGACTTGGCCGGCCAAAGTCCTGGAGAAGGAAGTGAGCAGACTGATTCACAATTTCTCATTGTGCCATGACAGAACAAGACTTTGATGGGTGAGGTGATGCGCAAGGGCGCCTTTTCTCTGGCCTCGGCTCAGTTCCACGCCGGCAACTTTGGGTGCGTCAACCGAGGGCAATCGTGGCGACCGTTTTGAGTCAAGGTGCCAAGGCGTGCCAGGCAGATCTTCACTCATGGCGATGTGGCTTCGTGCCCCCCCTCTAACACGGCCGATCATTCAGATCGACGGTGCTTCAGAATGTGAACAAGGCTACCATGCGCGTGCGGGCGCAGAAGGACAACGTGGCTGGTTCGTACCTTGCTTGCATTCAGGGGCATACACGGAGACATGAACACCCGCCTTCTTGCATACTGTGAAGCTGAATGGGTTCTCAACCACGCCGCCCCTCTGGAACCATCCTGCACAGGTGTTCAACTGCCCGTCTTTGAGCACTACACGGATGGCACCGTCAGTAACGATCTTACTGGTCTGGCTCGCGGTGGTCAGGTCATTCAGAACTGCAAGGCCTCATGGCAGGAGGCTGTCAAGCTGCTGGTCGAACTCGCTTCGCTTCAGGTCTGTTCAGCGTTGCCTAGCTGCTCAGGCCGAAAAGTCACCCTACTTTGTTGCCTTTCTGAGTCAACACAACCCACAATAAGTTCCAGTAGCACTTCCCCATCTGACATTGACATGTGTGTGGCATGGTATGGCACGCGTAGACATCCTTCGTCACCCTGGATGAGGTGATCAAGATGACCAACCGTCGTGTCAATGCCATCGAGCACGTTATCATCCCCCAAATTGAGCGAACACTCAGCTACATTGCCTCGGAACTGGACGAGCGCGAGCGCGAGGAGTTTTATCGGTGCGTATTCGCAAGCTCCCTGATGCCCCTCCGCTCCAGTGTCGTGAATTTTTTTTTTTTAAATTTTTTTTATGGCTTTTAAATTCTCTGCCCTCATGGTCTTGCTCATCCTTGGCTGCCATTTCCACTGTTTTTTTGGTCGTTGGTATAGTCTTAAGAAAATTCAGGAGAAGAAGGCCCAAATTAAGGAGCGCAAGGAAGCTGCTGCCGCACTTGCCGCCGCCCAGGGTTTGTGTCCTTTTCCGGCTGTGTTTTCTCTCCCACCCAGATTGAGATGCTCATTTGCGACCATTCTCACGCACCTAAATAAAAAAATAACTGCTTCAATTCACAGCCGGCGAGCAACAGAACGAGGCCTCTGCGCAGGAGCCCACAAGTCTCGCAAACGAGGATCAGGATGAAGACATTCTGTTTTAACGATTTTAGCTGCGCCGCACACTCCTTTGTTCTCAGGCCCGTGCTGTTGGCTCGTGCACGCCTCTCTAGTCAACGCATCTACACCTGGGTACCCTTGATGCCATCACGTGGCCCTGGAGTGCCTTTGGTTGTGCTTTTTCTGCTGCCAGCTCTTGTGTTCTTTCTCTTTGGCTGTATTAACGCGGTTGCAGCCATCCGTGTAGGAGACGCCTGGTTCATTGCGTTGAAGGCCTCCCTCCGTGTCGATTTCGTTTGTCTGTTTCTTGGAAATTCTGGACCTGATCACCCTAGCCCGGTTGCTTGACGACAGAAATTCATAGATAAAAATACCCAGCCACGTTGTGTGCACGACAACAGGTTATCTCGATAACGCTTGGTCTGTCGAAAACTTTGATTATTGACACATCTCTGGTTTCTTTCTTCGCCGCATATTCCAATCCTCCAAGCACACACACACACACACACATGCCTTCTCATGCAAACAGGGCTCTGAACTTGACCCATTACTGTTTCAACCAAGGCATCTGGCGCAAAGTGGCGGGGTCGCGCTCGCCGTAGTCGTAAAGCAATTCCTCTCCTTTCTCGATATCCTGAGTGCGATGGAATCGTACCTCAGATGAGCTCTCAAGGAAACAGCGTCAGGGATCAAATCGGCACTCACCCGCTTTACAATAAAACCCAGGTGTGGGCGATCATCAAGTACAAAGAGCTTGGTCTTCAAGTTGGGTTTTGCACGGGAATGATTGATCAAGCGGCCGACTCGACCCGTCTGAGTGGCGTCAACGCTATGGAGAGCCAGCAGGGGGCATGGGATGTATCAGAGGATGTGACATTGAGCACCTCAACGGACCGGCCGTTCAACAGAGGCGGCGAAAGACCTTCGCCTCAGGAGCCAACAGGCATCCAAACAACCTACCAGTAAGTACGACTCTTGTGACGCAGAAAATACATGTAGCACATCATTTCATCCAGGCCCTTGGCAGTGGCCTCGGTTCGGTAGCGCTCCTCGCGTCGGTGAGCCTCCTCCAGTTCGATCAGCTCACCGGCATACTCACACACGTATTCGCCTCGACGGAAGGCTCTACCCGCAAGTACCCCTTTGCCCTTGGCATCCATCTCCACAACTAGCAGCTCCTCAGTATCACGGCCCTCACGAATCATCTTTTTTGCCCGCTCTTCCTCCTAAGACGCCGTATGGGCCATCGATTAGCCGGCGGGCACATGGGCGTGAGGCACGATGCAAAGCGAACCATAGAACACGCGCTGAAACGCTTCAAAAAAAAGGCGCAAGACTCGAACTCACATCGACAATGCGGGCTCGGTTACGCGCGCTACGGCGGGGTGTCAGGGGCTCTGGTGGAATCTCCGGCCAGGTCGAATCAATAGGGGTGGCAGGCGGGGAGGGCGCAAGGCGCCCGGCTTCTGCCTTTTGCACATCAACTGTCGTCGTCTCTTTGGCGGTGGTGGCAAGAGTGCTTTCTGGTTCGTTGGTGCTGGCTGATTTGGGAGCTGATGGCACCGCTTTGGTGGCGGGGGGCTCAATGGCCTCAGTGGGCAAGCGGCGTCGAGAGCGCACGCGGCCTCTGGTTGGGGTGGGCTGAGGCTTCTTACGGGGCGTCACTTCCGCAGCTGGTGCTGCAGTGCTTTGGTCAGCACCAACACCTTCTGTTGCAGCAATCTGATCCTCGCGCACGGGCGACGGCGAGCGCGGGGGTGCAGCGATGTGCTTCTCGTCCATGAGTTTGGGTGAGCCGGATGCCGAGCTAGCATCATTCACGTGAATCAGGTGAGAGTGAGCATGGCGGTAAGAGGGCGGTGGGAAAGGCACTGTGGGACATACTCGGCATTTGCAAGGTCCTCCACCTCGGCCGCCTCCACGACGGCGTCATCCCGACGCGCCATCGCCACAGACTGCTCCGTGGGCTTGGTCGCCGATTCAGCGGCTCGACTGCCCACACGTCGCTGGGAACGAGGCGCCATTTTAAGTTCTGGCGCCCACACTATTCAAAAAATTATACTCTTGATTTTGAGCTTGAAAACAATTCAAAATTTGCTGTCCTGTCGACAATTCCCGCAAGTTCCCGCCAAAATAAAGAGACAGAGCAAACCCATTAGCACTCGTGAGGGCATCGCTGCTTCTCCACACGAGGCCGCTAGTCCTTTGCCTGGTGTTCAAGTTGTACCGACTGGTGGACGTGAAGCAGCTGGGACAAGAGGTGAGGGTGACGCAACCATGGCGGCACCTTCGACAACCCACGTGCGAGTGCGACTCGATTTTGTGGGGATCCGCCTGCCCCCCTGCATCGTGCCCTGTGAGCTGAGCTCGAGGGCGACAGTCAAGAGCTTCAAGAAGCGCATTAGGCGGATGACCAAGCGTGCCTTTCGGGAGCGTGATGTCTGCCTCTGCTTGCAGGGCTGTGCTCTTCTTGATCGCCTGCCCCTCGAAGGCTTGCTCACTGACGGTTCCCATCTTGTGTGGGTTTTGGCTCCCCCGCACCGCGCGCGCGCGCTCTCTCTCTTTCTCTCTCTCTCTCCCTCGGAAGTTTGTTGGGCTGATGATAGGGTTTTGTGCGGGCAAGCTCAAAGCGCGCCCAGCTGTATACACTCCAAACCCTGTGACAGGCCTAATTTTGCTTCCTCGCTATTGTTGTGGTTAATAGGGTGGCTACGAAATTCATCTATGAGCAGTTGTTGGGCTCAGTCTGGTCTCCAGCGGCGCTGATGGTCGCAGAGGGATCTAAGAGCCTCCTACAGAGTGATTCAGCTTGGGGCAGCCCTCGTGGTTGGCCGCCGGCCCGAGCTGATACACCGTCACAACGGCGTACCCAAGGGCTGCGCGCCGCAAAGCGCCGAGCGCCTTCAAGTAGAGATTCTTCCGAGTCTAGCCTCAGCTCAGATTCTTCTGCCTCCTCGGATTCTGAACCCGAAACGGATCAAGGGCGAGCATCTACCCCTGCTGCTGCATTGCAGTGTGACCCTGCCCCCTCTGGCAAGTCGACGAGTGTGGCGGAGACATCGCCTGCGCAAAAGCGGGTACGTCACGCAGCGGCTTCCGACACACCAATGTCCAGCCAAACGCCAATGACGGATGCTAAGGCGACCAAGAAGACACGGCGTGGTCGTCGAGGTAAGCCTGTTTCAGTTGTGGGTGAACTGTTGCTTGATGATACGTGGGTGCTCATGTCTGGCAAACTTGTGTTGCTACAAAGCTGGGCGCAAAGTCAAAGCCAAACAGCAACAGCAACAGCAACAGCAACAAGAACTACAAGAACTACAAGAAGCACAGCCTCAGCCACAACAGGAGCTGCAATCAAACAAACAAGAGTTTCAGCAGCCTCCAGCTCATCAAACAACTCAAGAGGCATCAGCACACAAAAAGTTGCCTCAGCAGCAAAAGCAGCCATCAAAGGCTTCAAACCCTCCCCGGACTCGCCATGCGGACATGACCGCCAGCAGCAACGTCCCAACACAACTTTCCGAAAGCACGGCACGCATAGCTTCTAGTCACACGGCGCCGGCAGCCGCAGCAACAACTGCATCCGTCACTCGGACACCATCTGAGCCAGCCTTGCCCACAGTTGCAACCATCCTGGCGCAATATCGCTGGCAGCCCTTGATCCGACCCACACAAGTCGATGACATTCTCGCCTTCAAGGAACTGGAACTTGGTGCTGACTGCATGCCTCGCATCTCCGACACCAAGGTTTGTGGCTAGACTTCTCCCACCCAACAAAAGCACCTGAATTCTTACCATGTGCCCTACCTATTCGTGTTTTGTTTTGTTTTTTGTTTTTATGTTTCATGTTGACTGATTTCTCGCCAACTTGTCCATGGGTTCCCACTTTCGCTCCTTTCGCAGGTGGCGCGCGTGCTCCAGGTTGATGGTAGTCAGGTCCAGCTGGAGCGCTTACACTCGTTGCCTGAAGACTCAGGCCCTAACTCGGCCCTGGGCAAGTTTCTCTTATCCCCTGCCACTGATACGCTTGACAACGACGAGAACGCCTCGACTGCCGGTGATGTGCGCTCCTGGGTAGAGACCTTCAACATGGACGAGGTGCAGTGCGCAGACATAAAATAGTGACGGCGTGGTCAACGCATTTCAGATTTTAAACCAATCGAATTTTTTGTATGTGGAGGAAACCCATGAGAGAACTCAACACGAAACAGCGGGGCCGAGTGCCCAGAGTACAAGAAGCCCACCATAACAGGCTAACAAGCCATGTGCAGTCAGTCACAAAACTCAGAGCATTCATGGCATTGCACTCGCAGCAGCGTCGCCCTTGGCCTTTTGGCGCTTCTGCAAGATAATGTGGGTGTAGTCCTTAATCAAGTGCGCAATCTGTGATGCCTGGCTCGTGTTGAACACGTACTTGGTACCTCGTGTCAACGACTCTGTCACCAACATGAGATTGCGCAAAGAAGGACTGTAGTTGACGATGCTCTTGTAAGCATATGAGATCAGCGGCTCCTTGGCACGGCGACGCATAATGTGCACGCCCTCTTCGTTAACAGCCAACCACAAATTCTTTGGCAAGTTGGTTGTGTACGACTGCATAACTTCAAACACGGTGGCTCCATACAGGGGCCAGGCTTGCACCACCTTCAAGTAGCGCGTGTTGCAATCATGCTTGCTGACGCCGCGCAGCTTCTGGTGATGCATGGCCACGTCCTCAGGTTGCACCACCGACGTCAAATGCTTGGGCAAATATTTTTGCAGGAGATCACCGTACACCTGGGCAGCAGGACCCGGCTGATAATCCCCAAGGTCTACCTGGGCGCGCAGCGCCGTCAGATAAGCCGCCTCGTCCTCAGACACGGGGAAGCGATCTTGCACAACGTCGTTCAAGGCCTGGAAGAGCGTCAAATCAAACTCCGTCGTGTTGTCCGGGATGCCCGGGCTGCCCAAGAAGAGGCGCTTTTTAAAGGTGAGCTGCAGTTGCTTGTCCGAGCGAGTGCTGCGGGCATACTTTTCCCACTTGAAGATGGCATCGCCCACCTTTTCCCAGGCTAGCATGTTACGCTCCAGCGTTCCAAACACTTCAAAGAGAGAAAATCCCTGCACGGCCGAGCTCAAGCCCATGCGCTCCTTAATGGTAGCTACCACCTCGCTCGTGGTGGCCGCCGAGTCAAACTTGAGCGCACGAAACTCGCCGTCCATGAAATAAAACCGTGCATGAATCGGCTGCATGGCCGACACACAATCAATTTCCACCTGTGAGGGTGGATACTTGCGATTCTTGTTCTGCAGCGTGCGCGCCATGACCGTGCGGCAGAACTGCGCCCACTTGCCCTCCTCCGACGCCATGTCCAAGCCTCGAGAACGAAGGTGCGCCGTAATGTAGGCCAGCACCTCTTTGTCACGCGGTACCACCACACCCAAGAGCAAGGCAAACATGCGCCAGTTTTGTACATTGATGCGGCTGTCCACATCTGGCTGATCCGTCGTCTGCTTGATGAGCTGGAGGTAAGTCTCGTTACACACGTCCTCCTTCTCCAGGCACCGGCCAATCACATTCTGTACGAGCTGATAGTGCTTGACGTCGCCGGGCGTCTCGTAGCCGCCCGTGCTGGCGAGGCCAGCGTACACCAGAAGGGAAGCATAGATGCGTAGAGCCATCTCTTGTGAGTCTTCTGAATCCATCACCGAGAGTGGCTGCGGCAGCTTGGACTTGGAGTAGGCCCAGAAGCGCTCGGGAAAATCGCGCTCGTATGTGCTGCTCTCTGCCTCGGCCGCCTTGCTTGAGCGACGCCGGCGCAGCGTCGTACCCAAAAATCCCTTTGACTCGGGCGGCTTGAGCATGGCACCGCTGTCCACCAAGGCCTTGCGCGCTTGCAGCATCTCGTTGTGCAGGCGCGTTTTGTCGTCCTGCGTCACCTTGCGCTGCTGGGGCACGGCCGCCTGCCCCACCTTCTTCCAATTGCGGTGCTGCGGTGAGTAGGACGCGATAAGGTTGGCCAAATCCTCGCGGCGGGCACAATAGAACATGAGGTGGCTGTTTTCCACCTCAGACATGCCCTCGAGGTTGAAAGTAATGGTGTCATCAAAATTGTTGACCTCGATGTTGGCCAGCTGCTCGTACGAGTACTCCGCAAGGACCTCCTTAGTCTTGGGGTGCACAAACTTGAAGCCATCCACGTGTACGGTGGCCATGACGTTGGTGGGATGCGACCAAAAGCCCTTGAACTGCACGTCGAAGAAGCTACCACCGTAGAGTGGGTACTGCTTGACTGCCGTCAAGTACAGGACCTTGGCCTTGATGTCCGTCATACCAAAGCCAAACTCGCGGTGGGCCCGGTACAATTCCTGCTGCCAGAAAGCCACGTCCGCGTTGTTCTCCCGGATGCGCTCGGGCAGGTAGTCTTCGGGTTTTTCGTAGCGCGCCATGTTGGCCGCATCGGCATCACCCCACAAAACTTGGGCCTGCAGGCCAGCAAGTTGAAGCGCCACCTTTTCATTAACCGGGAATTCGTCATGGCGGACGACGCTGCGTACGGCCTGGGCATACACCAACCCATACTCCACTGGGTCATCTGGGATATGCTTGGGATTGCGAAAGAGGCGCTTTCGGAAGACAAAGCGGCTGTCGCCCCCGCCCAGGGCCTGGGAGATGGCCGAGGCTGCCTTGCTGCGTGACATGGTGGCGTATTTGCTCATTTGCATCGAGCTACGAGCCTTGGACTCCCAGCGCGAGAGAATGTCGCCAAGGTAGTCTTGCCCACGAACATAATGCTCCTCGTCCGGGTTGGTCTCGAAAAGGGCCCAGCCATCCGGATCCTTGAGATCGATCTTGTTGGCAATGGCGTCGACGACATCACTCACGGTCCAAGTCGAGTGCACGCCCAGGGCCTTGACCTTGTCGTCTTCGAAGAAGAATCTGACAACGACAGGCTCGAGGCGACGAATGGCCGTCATCTCGAGAGTGGAAGGGTAGCGCTGGCGTGCCCCATTCATCTTGGTATGCTTGAGTGATTCGTACGCCCAGGCGGCGTAGCGCTTCACCACCGAGTCGCGCGTGGCCAGCTTCATGAAAGCCTGCAGGTACTTGTACAGCATCTTGCTTGGGGGGAAGGACACGACAAAGATGCAGAGCAGCTCCCAGCCACGACGTTGCTCCTCTGGACTGGGGTTGTTGGTGCACTGGCGAATGAGCTGGCAGTACACCTCGTCGCGCAGCTCCGGGCGCTCAAGGCAGTACGCAACGATGGACTGGGTGCTTTGAGCCACTTGTGCGTCTTTAAGCTCGCCACGAAGCTGCTTGTTGAGGTCCTTCCAGACGCTGCAGGCCAGATTCACGTTCTCAGGGTTGTGCATGTGCACCATCGAGGTGGGCAGCATGGCTGTCTTGGAGTACACAATCATCTCCTCCTTGGGAATGGGGTCGTCGACGGCCTTCTCACCGCGTCGCAACGTGGGCGCACGACGTGCCATGGTGTTGGCACTCATATTGCTCGGGTGGTCGTTGAAGTAACGTTTGGCATACACCAGCATGCTGTAGTCTGCCGGATTGAAGTTGTCGTCTGCTGCAGCGGCTGGGGCTGCGCGCACGGGGCCTGCTGCAGCAATGCCTCCCACGTTGGCCACTGGAGCGGCTGCCGGTACTGGACCTGGCTCGAGCGATTGGAGGCTAAGCTGCTTCTCCACGCGCTGTCGACGCCGGACTGTACGCGCTCCAGGCTGACCACGGGGAACCTCGCCTGCCAACACGGCGTCAAGCTCCGCAGACATTTTGCTTAAGAGATCCAGCTGCTTGCTCATCACCACCTCGCTGGCACCGGCCATGAAGGAGAACATGGAGGAGATGTCATCCATGCCCGTGCCAGAACCCGAGGCAGCTGCTTGCAACTCTGCAGCCTTGGCCAACGCCTGCAGCTCCTCTTGTGCTGCCAAAAATGATTGTTCCATCTCCGCCTCGCCGCGTGCGCGAGCCTCTGCTGCGCGCCGCGCCTCCTCCTCGCGACGCCGGCGATCCATTTCCTCGCGGCGTTTGCGACGCAACTCCTTGACAAGCTCACGCGCGAACCAGCCACGCACATAGGACTGGATGGTCACGGCAGCCCGGCGCTGGGCAAGGAAGCGCCAGCGAATGGCGGCACCACGTACTGCAGCCTGCAGTCGAGTGACGGCAAACATGGTTCGCTGGTACTTGCGGCGGGCCAGCATGCCACGGGTAGCGGCCTGCAGGCAAATCACGCGCTTCTCCAGCAAGCTACGGAGGGCTGCCTCGAGCGGATCAAAGACAGAGTTGCGCAGGAAGACCTTGGTCTGGCCAACCTGCCATTCGGTGGGCGGGGCGTTGATGTATTGCAGGATCTGCTTGACAGCGCTTTTGGGATCGGTGGGCAAAGCCTTGCCCATGACCCGAGCCATGGCATGGTACTTCTCGACAAACTTCTCGGCAGGCACGTGAATGGGAAAGCCCTCCTTGCGAATGCGGACAATGTCCAGCATGCCAGAATAATTGAGCTGCTCCTCTACCATGTCCTGCTCGTATTTGCCGGCACTCTTCGCGGCATTGGGCTTGATGCAGCGCACGTACCACGGTGTGGTACTCTCGAGGACCTCAACCAAAAGGTTAAGCTGCCGGCGAAATGTGTCACCTACAGTGGGCTTGGCCTTGCGCGTTGTCTCCGTACCTGAGCGCCCACGGACTGAGCCGCTGCGCACAGACCCCTGGCGTGATATTCCAGAGCCAATGGCGTTTTCGTTCGCCAAAATGTCTTGAAAGCGATGCAAGTCGCAGACAAAGGCATCGGATGAGTCGATGAGTAGGTTGAAAAGGGCGTCCTGCTGAGTATCACGGTTCTTGTCCAGGAAGCCGTCAATGGCGTAGACCACGGCGCCGGCAAAATGGCGGATACCAAACTCCTTGTCCCAACGAGCTTTATTCTCGCCCTTGATGTAGTGCGGATGGTCGGCCAGGGCAGCGTGCTGCTTCTCCAAGTATGATTGATCAGAGCCCTTCGGGAAACGGCATTCTTCGTCCAACAGGCGTAACACACACTTGTTCCCTTTCTCAATCAGATCCAGGCATTCCGCGTTATCCGTAAAGTTGATGTGGGCAAAGTCAATGCCTTCGCGTTGATACTCCTCCTGCGTTCAGTTTCGTGCATGAGCGCGCACGTGAGGTAGGTTTGCTGCATGGGACGAGCGGTGTCGTGCAGGGACCGGTATAGCACACCTGCTCAATGGCAAAAACGTAGTGATTGAAAAACTTGTGCAACTTTTCATTCGTGAAGTTGATGCAGAGCTGCTCAAAGCTATTGGTGGCAAAGTTCTCAAACCCAAAGATATCTGTGCGAACCCAGATAAGCTTGTGAGTGACTCATGTACCCTGCATGGTTTGGCTCCTGGATGCTTGCCACGCAAGGACAGAAAAAGGGCGGTGGCTCAAACGCACCAAGAACGCCAATGAATTTGCTGCGGGAGTCACCAGGGTTGGTAGTACGATTGATGCTGTCAACGAGCCAGGTAAAAGTACGACTGTACAACGCCTTGGCCTGCGGTGTGGGTGGACAAATGCAGCATGAGCGGAGCGAGCAGAGCAGCAAAGCGGTCGCCATTCAGCCATATGCCCGAATCCATGATCACAACTATTCCCAGGGAGTAGAGGGCGACTGGCGCATACCATGGCGTTTTTGTTCTCGTGGGCATCGTCCAATTTGAGGGGGATGGTGGTGATGTTGCCACGCACGACAATGGTGCGGTTGACCAGAATCTCCTTGAGTTGTTTGGCGTCAATCTACAGCACCCCGTAAATGTCGACGACACCACAGCAAAGGCGCGGTAAGAACAGGGCGAGATGTCATCGTGGGCCTGCGAGATCAAAAGGGAATGGACAGACTCGAGCGCACCTTGAGCAATTCGGCAACGGTGCCGGCAATCTTCTCGTCCTCTGGAGTCAACTGAACCGATTCGCCATCCACGTCCTTGAAGTGTAGGTTGCCAATCCACAACACAGCCGAGACGAGGGAGAAGATGCCATCCATCATGTCATCACTAATGTTCAGCACTGTCATGGCTTGGCGCAGATCGTCGTACGCCTAGACACGGCCAGCAGAGAAAGATTCCAGACCCCAACATGGCATTCAGAATGGCCTCGTAGCGTCAAGAGGCTTACGCTGCATTGGTCTGAGGCATGGTGCACGACAAACCTGGGCATCGGAAAAGTTGGAAAGCTTGTAACAATTGCTCTGATTGAGGTAAAGGTAGGCTTCGGGCTCCATGAGGTGAAAGCGTTGCCGGTCACCAGCAGCTAGCAACTGGAAGAGCAAGGGTCAAACAGTGCACATGACCATGGCTGATGAGCAAACTTGCAAACTTTGCTCGGTTTTGCTGCTGTGTGGTGACGGCACTCTCAACGAAAGAATCAACAACGGTGGGGCAGACCTGGTAAAACACGTGATAGCTTCGCTCATCTGGTTGGATGTTGGTGATGCGCGATTGCTCGAGCAAATACTAGAAGGAAGGGCGGTGGAAATCCGGGTGAGGAATAAGGTGTGAGACCCGAACCAAAACAAGAGAGGCTGGGTATGCCGGGGTAAAAAGGCGCGCGCTGTACCTCCTGAATCACAGAGCCGCGAATCTCGCATTTGTGGTCAAAGCAAACTTGAATAAACTTGCCAAAGCGAGACGAATTGTCGTTGCGCACGGTCTTGGCGTTGCCAAACGCTTCAAGAATGGTGTTGGCTTCTAGAATTTGCTGCTCCACCCAGTTGGAGACGCTGGACGTCACGGCACAGAGGTACTGAAGAATGAACTTTGTTGTCTCCGTCTATGGTTCAGGCCAAATGCAAGGCGGGTTGGGCGTGAGTTTCATGGCCTGCAAATTTAGCTTTGGGAGCAAGCAATGCCGAGCTGCCCGATGCCATGGACGCTACCTTGCCGGCGCCTGATTCACCACTAATGATGCAGCTCTGATTGATGTCGGCGGCCTGGACATTTGCGTAGGCGGCTTCGGCCGTGGCAAAGACGTGAGGCTTGAGCTCGCCAAGCTTTTTGCCGCTGTAACGGTCAATGTCATCCTGTTGGGTGGGGCACCAAGGGTGGCGGAGAGAGACAGCAGCGAGGTGAGCATACGGGCTGTTCGGCGAGACGCGTTGGGTGCAAATGACACACCTTTTCGTAAATGGGGAGGTACTTGTACGGGTTGACAGCAACCAGAATGGAGCCAGTGAAGGTATATATCTCGTCGCGATTGAAGCGCACGCGCAAGTTGGTGTTGATGCCTGCCACGTCCAAGTCGGACAGGTGTGTCATGTCCTCGACGCCATCTTGAGGCCGCAAGCCTGAAAGAATGCAAGCAGATCAGGTTCAGTCAGAAAGCGATGAAGGGCGGGTTCATGATGCAGAGCAAGGCAAAAGTGGGAAGAGAGGGTGAGATGGCTGGTTCCTGGCTCGGCTAGATGGCCGATGCACGGCAGCTGCGCGTGATACGCACCGTCCATGACCAGCTTGGGTTTGAAGAGCTCCTCCACACCAGCCATGGTGCTGATTGTTGGTTGTTTGGTGCCAATCCCAGCACAATGCGTTTGGGGGTTGAAGTTGCTATTTCAACGAGTCAAGATGCAAAGCGACCTCCCAACGATTGAGAGATGCTTCCTCCGGGCCGTAAGTCCAGAGTCGGGGCACGTTGGTTGCACCCCGAGCCAAGCAGCCAACCGTCACTAACTCCCAAGGCCGAGACCTAGGATACAAGAGGAAGGCCAAGAGCAAATGGTGAAGGGCGATCAAGTATGAAGTCAGCCATCCCTCCTTCTCAAGGCAAGAATGAGGCAAGCATGCAGCTTGATGCAACCCCCAAGACGGGTCAACACGAAAGGGGGCGGGGCAAGGCAAGTATGGTTTCATAAAAATTGTTTCAAGTGGCAGCCCGCCCAAGACGAAAACAACCCGAACAAAACAGAACAAAAATAAAGACAATGCGTTGAGCCCTTGTCAGCCCGAGCATAGATCCAAAGCTCATGACCTTGCCGCCCTTTGCCCCGTGTCTACCCGCCAGTCCACACACCCTGTCTAGCCACTGCCAAATCCGAAAAAAAAAAAAAAAAAAAAAGTCAACAAAACTTACGAGAGAGAGACGTACTGAAGAGAAATGCAATTCAACGCCACTGTTGTCTGTGTGTGTGTGTCGGCCAGTCAAGACACAGCGGCGTACAAGAAGCCTCAATCTCGAGGGATGACTCGAGCGCCTGCACTTCACTCCCACTGCTGACCCCTGACCCCTCGCCTTCTGCACGCTGAGCTCCCCCCACTTGCCCGCTGCCATATCCACCCTGATCTTCCCTTGTTCCCCCTCCCACTTCCAATTCATGTTCTGCTTCCAAGCAATAAAAACCTCACTGCTTTCGTCTTTTTGATTTCCCGTCGTTGTTGTTTGTCAAGTAAGTCTGCGCGCACACACACACACACACTCGGGCGGATCGATGTCGTGAGGCCGTCTGTGTCTGGGAGGGCCTGGAGGATTGTGCCTGCTTTGCTTTGAGAGCGGCGGGTTGCTCGTTGGAGGAAGCACCACTGGCTGGAGTGGTATTCCGGTGCTGACCCTCATTCTTGGCTGCGCGTTGACGTCCACCCCGGTGCTTAGCTAAGAGCCGTCTGTCCCGCTGTCACAAGAACCCATCGCCATGGCCAAGGTGGGTTTCGGCTATCTGGTATCTGGCACCCGCGCGCAAAGCTGGGTACCCCCGGTCGCACCTTGATGCAAAGCGTGTACCTGCCACACGTACTTTTCCCTGACATCCAATCGATTTGCTGCCACAGGAACTTGTTCGTGTTTGCGTCACTGGCGCCGCGGGCCAAATTGCTTATTCGCTGCTCTTCTCCATCGGCCGCGGTGACATCTTTGGCGAAGACCAGGTATGCGCAGTCTTTGGTGTCAGGCCACTTATTTGCACAATTATTGATGGGGCTAGCTCACTCTCACACGCTCCTGCCGCCCACTTTGCCCATCATGATCATTGCGATCCGCGCCCCAGCCCGTCAGTCTTCAGTTGTTGGATATCCCACCCATGTTGGGCGTGCTCGAGGGTGTCGTGATGGAGTTGAACGACTGCTCCTTCCCATTGGTTAAGAGTGCGTAGTTGCTTTTTTGTCTATCCCATCCTAAAAGCGCTTTCGGTGAAAGCAAACACCTTGGCCCCCGCTGACCCAGTGGTCTGGACAACTCACCACACTTCTGGGGCCAGACATCGTGGCAACCGCAGACCCGGCTGAGGCTTTCCTGGATTGTGATGCGGCCATCCTGGTTGGCGCTGTCCCGCGCCGCGAAGGCATGGAGCGCAAGGATCTTTTGCAGCAAAATGCCAAGATCTTCAAGATGCAAGGCCAAGATTTGGATCGCGTCGCCAAAAAGTCGGTCAAGGTGTTGGTGGTGGGCAACCCATCGAATACCAATGCCATGATCACAGCCCAGTATGCGCCCTCCATCCCCAAGTCACAATTCTCCTGCCTGACTCACCTGGACTTGGTTAGTGGGGAACTGCGTCACCTCGCACCCCGTGCTGATTCAGACCTCAATGCGCGACGCCTCGGGAGACTCGTAGGCAGCCCGCAACGCCTCACACTTTTAATGCTGGGCACCCATGCTTGTCGCAGAACCGAGCCAAAGGCTTTGTGGCCCGCCGCCTTGGTGTCAACCCAGAACAGGTCAAGAACGTCATCATCTGGGGCAATCATTCGGCCACTCAGTACCCAGATGTTAGCCATGCCTACGTGGCCAACCCAGACGGCACCAAGGTCAAGGTGACTGAAGCAGTCAATGACGATGCCTGGCTTCACGGCGAGTTTGTCCAAAGCGTGCAATCTCGAGGAGGTGCTGTCATCAAGGCCCGTAAGCTCTCCAGCGCCCTCTCTGCCGCCAAGGCCATCTCCGATCACATGCACACCTGGTGGTTTGGAACCCCGGACGGCGAGTTCACCTCCATGGGAGTGGTCTCGGATGGCTCATACGGTACCACAGAAGGCATTGTCTACTCATTTCCCGTCAGCGTCAAGGTCAGTCCGTCGGCCCACCGCCGAAGCAGATCGACCCATTGCCTGTCTCTCCGGCTGACGCTATGCATGATGATGCGCGGTAGAATGGTCAACTGAACATTGTCCAAGGCCTTTCTGTGGATGACTTCTCCCGCGAGATGATGGACCGCACAGATCAAGAACTGGTACGTCCCTTGCATCTCTTAGTGCCCACTGCTGCACATGACCATAGTGTCTCGGGCCTGTCCAATGCTTGCTGTCCCCGTCATCTCGGGTTTTTTTTTTTCTTTCACATCCCCTTTGCGGGTAACCTGCCCATCTACCTTTCTCTACACTTTCCCCTAGACCCAAGAAAAGGAAACGGCTTTGAAGATCCTTTCGGATTGACTAGTGTCCAAACTCTAAGGACTGACGGTGTCCGCATGACCCGTGTCTCACCTGCTTCGCGATGGAATGCACCGCTTTGTCTGTGTGTGCTTCCCCGTTTTTGACCCTGTCAAACTTGCCATTCGCGGCTTGCCCGCGTGCTACTTCTGCCCATTGCCCGTCTTCTGTCAATTTGCTCGGTTTGAGCTTTGACTTTCTTGTATCGATCCCGTTGGTTTTGGGTAAAAACATGAGGGAGTTACTTGGCTCCTCCACCCTTCCGTGCATCAATTCACGTGTCAACAAACAAACAAACCCGGCTTCATTTTGCCTTTCCATCACTCGCATCATTCATACACGGATAAAACATCGGAGGGTGCTCTCACTTCCGCTCAACACAACACCCGTCACCCCTTCCCCTTGGCACGAATACTTTTTTCTTTGTGTGTTTTTCTCTCTCTCTTTGTTGTTCACACGCACACATGTTAAAACTGACCGTTACGTTTCGTTCAAGTCACAAGCAAAAAGCAAAAAGCCCTCTTTGTCTTTTTCTTTTCCTGTTCCTCTTTCCAGTTATATACACACAAACGGCGGCGTTGCATCGCCCGAGAAGCACAAGCATCATGTCACAGGCTGAGGTGCGTGCAGGTGCAGGTGCACGTCTTTTGGGCATGGCAACTGCGTGTGGGTCGAAAAGCATGCAATAAAACTCACCAAGCGTGTTTGATTCCTTTCTCTTGTGCAATGACCCGCAGGCCAAGCGAAGGTAATCTAAACGCAAGAACGAGGGGCAGTCAAGCGCGCCTTGCTTGTGCTTCCAGTGTGTTTCCCGCGCCCTCGCCCCGTACGCCAACTCATACCCATCCGGTGCTTTCGCAGCCACGATCAGGCCTCAGAAGCCAGTTCTTTGTCCTCAGATCACAAGGCTCAGGTGCAAACATGATTGGCAAACTACTCACGGCGAGGAATCGCAGATCCAAGCCAAGCCATGAGCGCTAACCCCATCAACACTGCCTGTTCACCCTGCTCGTGCTGGCAGGTCAAGCGTGTGGTGCGCCGCATCTTGTTCAAGCACGCCAGTGGAGGAGCGATCAACCGGGCAGGTCTGTACCAGGACCACCATTGTTGCTCATCATTTTTTTTTTTTTCGTGTCTCTACGTTCTTCGATCTGCTCATGTCGCTGCACGCTGCTTGTTGCTGTTACCAATGACGCCCCTGGATTGTTCATGGAATCGGTAGACCTGAGCGCTGACTTTTCAGGCCGTAACATTGCGCCGGTTTTGAAGGATGCTGCTGCTATTCTTGAACAGGTGCCAATCACTGGGCTGCGAGCTCCCTTGTCCCATGTGCCACGTACAGTTTGTCGCTGTACCTAACCCTGCAGTGGCGACTTGCAGATGTTTGGCTACCAACTGCGGACCCAACCCGACACCGAGTCTCGCACTGATCCAACTGAACCCCGTGCTCGGGTGAGTCTCCTCCACTTGCCTCTTTTTTTTCGCTGTTCCTCTTCGGATGCTTACCCATGAAGCTGTCCTGATCTATATCTCTACGGCGCGTCATCTGTCATTAGCTCGAGGACAACACCCATCAACCTGTTCAAACCCGCACCGGCAACACCTTTGTTCTTGTGAACATTCTGCGAAATGAAGCCATGCCCAACTTGAGCGACTGGTTGGTGATGGCCATCGCAGACTCGTTGCTCTAGCCGTGGCATTGCATGGGCTCTGCTCTGCGTCTCGAAACTATGCTCATTACAAACTGAGCCAAATACCTTACCGTTATCACTTGGTGTCCTCAACAGGCAAAGCCAACGAGTTTACTTTGGCCTGCTCATGCCCATACTGGCCTTTATTTACTTAAAAAACCACACTCTACCTCAAGGTGCGAGTGCTCCCGGTGCAAGGTTGTGCGTGTTTCCTGGCAAAGTCTGCCCCCGACTCATGGCAATCATCGGCTGTTATCAAATTCTAGTCGAGCTATTTCGCCATTTAGAAGACCTCGAGATCAGTCGCAATCTGGAGGTTGACTCTGAAACAGTCGAGACCCTTGTCACAAAGACTTTTATCACCGACCGGTACGCCTGCCCTGCACAATCAACAACTGCAACAGAAGCATGAGATATGCATAGCATCACCCCCTTGTAGACGGCTGGTCGCCTCTTGCACCGCTGCTCACCTGAACCTTATCTTTTGGTACAATGCGTGTAGCTATTTGGCGCGCGTTCGCGTGACGCATAAGTCGGAACGCATCGAGCACCTTCGTTGGGGGCCTCGGGCCCGTGCGGAACTTTCCGAGAAAGATATCGTGTCCTTCCTTGCCCAGGTTCGGTAAACTCATTCTGTTTTCGCTCAACTCGGCTTGATTTCACCCTCATCAGACCCTCAGACCCTAATCAGACTTTAAATCTTTCTCACAATGTGTGTTCCCATCATTCTACTCCGTCATTCCATAGGTCCATGGCAAGGACCCAGCAGCCACTTGGAGTCGACTCCTGGCTGATCGTGAGGCTGCCGATAAATAGCCTGACGGCCTCGTACAGAGCTTGGCGTGTCAAGAAACTCACCAAGGCATCAATGAGAGGGCTTTGAGCGCGTTTGTATCCATCTTTTTTGGCTCGATTCCTTCTTCAGCAAATGTGGTCCACTTGTTTCCGTTATGTCTGTGATGTGTGGTGGACGATTTGAAAACTGGAGGTACCCTCTTTGGCATTCTGGTTGTTGCAACGCAAATAGGACCTTCTATGGCCGGCGTCGGAGACGTCATTTGGCCTGTGCCATTGCAGATTCATCAACCGCCTCGTTTATCTGCAGGACAGTGCCGTCCTCTATTCCCTTCTTTTCTTTTCTTTTTTTTTTT